TGGATTATAATATGAAGCAGGAAGATAGTGTTAAAACAAAATTAATTAAGTGTGAAATAGAAAAGTCTTGTTAAAAATGGATAAAATGTGAAACCGGAAGACTTTGTTAAAAATGGAGTAAACCTATAAAAGGAAGATCCTAATATAAAAGTGGATTAAACAAGAAATATGAAGATCTTGTTGTAAAAAATAATTAAATGTGAATCAGGAATATCTGATTAAACAGTATCTTGCTTGGTCAAGTGAAAACAACAATGGAGAATAATAATGGCTGGAGACGGCTTGAATGGGTAATGAAGAAAAACTTTAATATAAGTTTAACATAACAGCAAATGTACAACGTTTCGACAAGGTTTTGTCATCATCAGGTAACAATAGAGAATGTAGGGGGATGCATGAAGCCTCAAAGAAAAATTGTACCTAACATTACTAAGATCACTCCAATAATAACAACTTGGATTGGATGTATTCAATCTATGCAGCAGCATCAAACCGTTGGCCTGTGTTTCGTAGAAAAGGATTAAAGATACAGTCCAATAATTAAAACAAAAGGAGGATGGAGAGCCAATTTATAAGATTGATTTAAATAAGGTTTGTAAGCTATTCTACTCAGATCATGGAAGCAGGTTGTTTATGGATTGTCTTTAACAAAGTAGCTGGTGAAATTTATTGTAACAATGCAAGACGTTGTCAGTGAATTTGTATGAACATATAGAATACCCATGGTGTAGCATAGCAAAAAGGTGTCAGTGAATTTGTATAAACATATATAATACCCATGGCGTAGCATAGCAAAAAGCTGTCAGTGAATTTGTATGAGCATATATAATACCTATGGCGTACATAGAGAGAAAGGCTTAGCTGTCACTGAATTTGTATGAACATATAGAATACACATGGTGTAACGGAGCATGAAGCTGTCAATGAATTTGTATGAACATATATAATACCCATGGTGTAACAGAGCATAAAGCTGTCAATGAATTTGTAAGAACATATATAATACCCATGTTATAACAGAGCATGAAGCTGTCAATGAGTGTGTATGAACATATAGAATACCCATAGTGTAGCAGAGAGAGAAGCTGTCACTGAATGTGTATGAACATATAGAATACCCATGGTGTAGCATAGCAAAAAGCTGTCTGCATTTGTATGAACATATAGAATACCATGGTGTAGCATAGAGAGAAAGTGTCAATGAATTTGTATGAATATATGGAATATCCATGGTGTAACAGAGCATGAAGCTGTCAGTCAATTTGTATGAATATATGGAATATGCATGGTGTAACAGAGCATGAAGCTGTCAATCAATTTGTATGAATATATGGAATATCCATGGTGTAACAGAGCATGAAGCTGTCAATGAATTTGTATGAATATATGGAATATCCATGGTGTAACAGAGCATGAAGCTGTCAATGAATTTGTATGAACATGTAGAATATACATGGTGTAACAGAGCATGAAACTGTCAATGAATTTGTATGAACATGTTAAATTATCCATGTAACTTTATTCTGATCAGGAAAAAAAAATGAATCATCACAGACTTGTTGTGTAGAAACATATTATGAGAATAAGTAAATCCAAAAAACAATCTTCTTTTGATCCTTTATCAGTCGGAGTGGTACAATGGTGCGATCTTGAAGCATTGAGTTACTTGAATCAGTTAATCACGTATATGAGGTACTGAATCACATGGTTACCGAGAACTGAAGGAATCGTAGGACAAATCTACTCTAATTACACTTTTTCATTGAGACACACTGCTAATACTATTCATGAGTTAGCGAAAAGCTGAAATATCCAACAAGATAAGGTATATGAGGTCACTGATGACTAGTGTTACAACCCAAAATGGAATATTCAAAATATCAAGTTGAACGTTTTATATTATTTTCGATGTTCATGTTGAAAGGTGACATGCTGGTTATTTCTAAGAGTGATCCACCGGTATTAGTATCTTTCATAAGAAAAATCAACAATATTATCGCAAAATTTACCATTAAAAGTTGCAAAATATTCTGGGCTATTTTCGAGATGGCTAAAAGACGTACGTGTTAAATATTATTTGTAATTATATGTTACATTCTTTTACTACTTTGAACTTCAAAATTATTTATCGAGATCCTTATACATATAACTCCAAGAACGTTCGACAAAAGAGGCCCTAAATAACAAACGTTGCCGGTAAAGATATATAGTCTTAATGACGACTGGCTAACATTTTAAATTATTTTCAAATTTCATGCTGAAAGACGACATGTTGGTTATTTCTAAGAGTGATCCACAGGTATTAGCATCTTCCATATGAAAATCAACAATATTATCGCAAAGTTGACCATTGGTATCGGACCAAAGAAACGAACCAAATCCCTTTTACAGAATCGTTTTCCGAGGATATGAAAAATAAAGATGAAATGCTTGGAGTTATCATAGACCTAATGATGATAATAATTTCTCATCAAAGATAGTTTGTTTCTGGATGAGTTTAAGAACTGCAACAAGTAAGAATCAAAAAACGTAGAGGGTCTTTATAATTTAAGAAAGTTTCTTTGTGACATATTAAAGAATAATATTATTATTTTAAAATTGTTTCTTTTAAAATTTGTAAAATATTTGGGCTATTTTTCAAAAAGCTAAAAGACATGCGTGTTAAACATTATTTGTTTTACTTCTTTGAAAAACTTCAAAATTATTTATCGAGATCCTTATATAACTCTAATAACGTTCGAGGGCCTAAATAACAAACTTTGCCGGCAAAGATATATAGTCTTAATGACGACTGTCGACCAATAAGTATCAGAGTTAAGATTTTGTTTCAACAATCAGATACTGTCAAGTTTTAGACTTGTCTACAAAACACGAAGTTTAGAAGATGTGGAAACTTTAATTTAAGAGCAGATAGTGAGTGTGAATATAAGTCTAGCTGAAATTGTGAATATCTTGTTTTGAGTTTTGAAAAAAGTAAAATATCGGAAACTTGTAACTTATTGCACACAATATGGTCCGAGTTAATTACAATTTCTCTAATAAATCATAGTGCTCTTATTTATCGATAAGTCTGCCATTCCTAAAATAATTCAGTCAATAGATAAACATACAGAAAAAACAAAAAAGTAGTGCCGTGGATAATAATATGTGCTAAACAAATAGATTTAAATTACCACAAATTATACTTTCATGTAACATAGGCCTAACAATCGTACAAAAGAGCTCCAAATAAAATTAATGTTGACGACTCCATATTTCTATTAGAAATACTTAAAACATAACAACAGAAATATTTCATTCCCAAACACAATAAGTCCGACTTATTAATTCTGTCAGCTTCATTTGTTGTTATATATATATTCATACGTTACTTCGTAAACTTTCCCATCATAGAAGAAAATGAAACAACAGACAAATAACATAATTTTTTTTTCAAAAGTCACTTCGTAAAATAAAATTAGATAAATAATTGAGAAAACGGAGAACGCCTACACATCAGGCTAACATAGAGGATTAGAAACGATCACATTGTTGAAACAAGATAAAACAACATTAAAAAATAAGTCCATTCGGAATTAAAAATATAAGAAATATACCTGATCATGCCTTCAGGTTAGTATTAGAGCCATTTCACTTATGAAGTTAAGCTTTTAGATCGTGTGTTTTTTCCTCAGCAATGTTTTTATGAAACATGTCATCTTCATTTATCCCTAATTACAACAGAACAGATGCTTGGAACAGAGAATGAGAAAAAACGATGTGAAATTTGCTAGGCTAAACATCGTAGACGTAAATATGCAGGAGCGCTACCTCTAACTTACACTAAATTTTATATCCCGTTCAGCTAAAATCAAGTTAATAATGAAACATCTAAGCAAAACTTTACGTGTGAATATTAATATACTTACAAATATGAAAATCCTAACTATGGGATGCTTTAATGATATTTACATAAAGATTAGTTCGGTAACTTATCAGGTTACTCTGTGTGTCTAGACAAATGATTGTAGGTTTCCTGCGTTTAATGACGTGTTTTGAAGTGTTTATACATATCTCGTAGCAACGTTGTTCAGAAACCATCGTAACGTTCCCATACTTTGTTAATTCTACTAAAGATTTGCAAATTGTGCGATTAAAATTAATGCTATGATTGGTTGGGGATTTATTAAGTATCGTTAGAGAATGGAATGAAATGGGTTGAGTTATGGTTTTCATAAAGTTCAGTTAGAAGTAAATTCCTATGTTTGAGGTAAATTAATATGAGAACTATTTAAAGCTGAAAAGTGGTCTGGCTGTATATTAGTCCACATTCAACAACAGTAAACAGGGATAACCCAGAGTAGAAGTGGAAGGTCATAAAAGAACAGCTTGACCTGGACAAGAACAGGAATAGATCAAGGCCACGAAGCGAAAATTTGTTATAAACCTTGTCCAGCCTTTACACATGGTTTCAGTTGTTCAATTCAAAGGTTTCCCACACATCTCGAGGGTATCACAGTGGATAAGTTTAACAATGTAGTAATTGATGCTATGGCGTCATACGGGTCAGCGGAATTCGTTAAATCGCTAACAATGACGGTGCTGCAACGCGTCTGGCTTAAGTTGATAAGACAGACAACAAAATCAAAGGAGTGGAGTGAGATGGAGAAACACTGAAAAGCCCTGTAAGATACTGATATTATTCTAGACACAGACAGCAACATCGGGGTATTGCTGTTGTGGTATTCTCAGATGTACTTATGGGCAAGAATATTAAACGAAAACAACAGGGCGAAAGTCAGAAAATGTTAATCACGATTTATCTAAGTTTTTGACTCTGACTGAGCTGAAGAAAAAGACGAAAACCAAAATTCAAACAACAGGATTTTTTTTATTTATTTAAAAATTAACCAAAGTGAACGAAAGCACTGAAGACACAATACAACGTTATTATTTAAACTGAGGAGAGCGTTTTACTCCAAAAGTTCTGAAAGAAACCGAAATAAGATGGAGAGAGCTCTTTACTCCAGAAGTTCCGAAGGAAACCCGAATAAGATGGAAAGCAAACTTCGGATCTTAACGTTACCTTGTTCACTTTTACTTCTAAAATCACGAGTTCTTTCCATCTTATTCGGGTTTCCTTCGGAACTTCTGGAGTAAAGAGCACTTTCCATCTTATTCGGGTTTGCTTCGGAACTTCTGGAGTAAAGAGCACTTTCCATCTTATTCGGGTTTCCTTCGGAACTTCTGGAGTAAAGAGCACTTTCCATCTTATTCGGGTTTCCTTCGGAACTTCTGGAGTAAAGAGCACTTTCCATCTTATTCGGGTTTCCTTCGGAACTTCTGGAGTAAAGAGCTTTCTCCATCTTATTCGGGTTTGCTTCGGAACTTCTGGAGTAAAGAGCACTTTCCATCTTATTCGGGTTTCCTTCGGAAATTCTGGAGTAAAGAGCACTTTCCATCTTATTCGGGTTTGCTTCGGAACTTCTGGAGTAAAGAGCACCTATACTTCATCCAACCTATTAGTTTACTAGATATATGCCATGTAAGGTAAGAGGAAAGTGTAAAATAATGAGAAAGTTTCAGCTGATCTTTAAATTGGGTCTTAAACTGTGACACTAGAATAGCATAGTATAAGTTCACAAAATATTACTCTGTTGAAACAATACGAAGGAACACTAGGCTAACATAACAAAAATAAGAGTTAAAGTGTTGAAACAAAAGAAGTAACATCATGTTAAAATAACAAAAATATAATTTAAGGTGTTGTAAGAAAAGAAGCAACATCATGTTAAAATAACAAAAATATAATTTAAGGTGTTGTAAGAAAAGAAGCAACATCATGTTAAAATAA